AGCACGTACTCATTACAAGGAGAAAACACCTTGACAGTGGAGAAACCTGGGGGACACCACCTTAAGAGCTCAAGGTGAGTTTCCTCAGTAATGGGACAAATTAAAAATGGATGTGAGAAGAGAACGGCATCACGTCTGTGATGTTCCTGCCAGAGATGCACAACCTGAACCTGATCCTGAGGAAACACCAGACAAACCCAAACCCAGAGACGTGCTTCAAAATAACCAGCCTGCAGTCCTCAAGAGTGTGAGCACTCTGAAAGGCGGGGAGGACTGTGAACTGTTTATGACTGAAAGAGACTAAAGAGACCTGACATCTGAAGGCACCATGTGATAAGGGGATGGACTTTCTCTCTTCCTCTCTCTCTTTTTTTTTTTTTCGCTATAAAGGACATTATTGGAACCACTGGCAAACTTGAATGGGGCCTGAGGATTAGAAGGATGTAATGTGTCAATGTTAGTTTCCTGAATTTTGCCTTTTCCCCTGGAAGATGCCCTGTTTGTAGAAAATACATATTAAAATACTGGAGGGGGGTTGACCACCATTGCTGGCAACTTAGTCTTTTTAAAAAATATATTTTTATTTCTCTTTAAATATTTTATTTTATTTTATTTTTTTATGGAGGTACTAGGGATTGAACTCAGGACCTCCTGCATGCTAAGCACACACTCTATCACTGAGCTATACCCACTCCATGGCAACTTACTCTTCAAATGGTTTAGGAAAAAAAGTTCTTTGTACACCCAAACCGGTAAAAGTATTTCGATATGCATTGCCAGTATATTTTATTTATTCACCTACTTTTAAATTTACACACACACAAATATGTTATGTTGTGCTATCCCAATATAATATGATCTATAAAACTTACAAGAACTGAAATGTAATCAGATTAGGAAAAAAGAAATAGGAAAGACATGGTTATTAAAATTAATTTATGAGGGTTCAACATAAACGTTGGGGAGCATTGGTACCCTGACCCTGCAGATAATCTTCCCAGTTTTTTATTCATCACATATTTAATGAATAGCAAGGCTCATAAGCATTTCATGGTGCTACTGTAAATGGTTCTGTTTTTAAATTTCAATTTCCAAATGTTTACTGCTAGTATATAGACATACAGCTGACACTGTATACTGACACCGTACCCTACAGCCTTCCTAACTCACTTATTAGTTCTAACAGTTTTTATGTAGATTCCTCTTTAAAATAGACAATCATGTTAACTGCAAATAGAGAAATTTTGAAATAATACATATAAAAACACAAAGTATTAGGTTGAAACAGAAGAAATGCCAATACAGGCATCTCCCACTTTTTGAAAGTTTGCTTTATGCCACTTTGTACTTTATGCCACTTTCTTTTAAAAAAAGACCTGCATTACTACCTGTTTTCGCTATTTGTTGTTGTTGTTGAGTTTTAGGGCTTCATTATATATTCTGGATATTAATTCCTTACCAGATATATGATTTGAAAATATTTTGCCCCATTCTGTAGGTTGCCTTTGCACTTCTATGGATACATTCCAATGACATACGTTTTTAACTTGTGAAGTCCAATTTATCTATTTTTTTTCTATTGTTGCCTGTGCTTTTAGTGTCATAGTCAAGAAATTAAGAAATTATAGAGTCAATCAAACAAATATTTACTGAAACCTTACTATGTTCCAGGCATTATTAAAAATGCAGTTCACTATAACAAATATCACAATTTTTTAAAATTGTGATACAACAGACATATAAGTACCACACTGCTTTGATTACTATAGCTTTGTATTAAGTTTTGAAATCAAAGTATGAGTCCTCTAACTTTGTTCTTTTTCAAGACTATTTTGGCTATTTGGGGTCTCCTGAGATTCCATGAATTTTAGGATGGCTTTTCTATTTCTGCAGGAAACATCACAGGATTGTGATAGGGACTACACTGAATCTGTAGATCACTTTTAGCAGTATTAGCATCTTAACAACATTAAGTCTTCCAGTCCATGGATATGAATGTCTTTCCATTTATTTGTGCCTTCTGTAGTTTCTTTCAGCAATGTTTTGTAGTTTTCAATGTAGAAGTGAAAAATGGGTTCTAGAGCAAGCTCACTTGCTCTGAGCCTACTGTACAAAAGAGACTTGACTAGGATTTTTCTAGCTCTAAATTTCTATGATTCTCCAGTATTTAATCTAGCCTTGAAGGTAACTAAATATTTACTAATTCTTGTCCAGAATGGCATTATAGAGTCAATCAAACAAATATTTACTGAAACCTTACTATGTTCCAGGCATTATTAAAAATGCAGTTCACTATAACAAATTTCTTCCTTTGAATTCCCCTTTCACTTCCCAAATTAAAAAAAAATTACTTTCCTTAAAGGATTTATTTCTGGACTGAAGACTGTATCAGAACACCTGACAATTGATTTAAGTCTGAAAACCAGATAATCAGTTTATTTCAGTTAACCTCCAACTGTCATTTACTTTTCTTAAGCAACATTTTCTGTTCTTTAAATGGAGGGCATAGAAACCAAATGCTTGATAGAAAAATGTACATCATGCATATAATTTTACAGACCACTGAAGAATCTGGGCCAGTGCATCTAAAATCGTAATTTCAGATTAAATCTCCTATGTACTACTTAACCTCACTCAGTTCTTAAGTTTGTTTCTTCACCACAGCTCTGTATCACTAATTCTCTATAACTACTTTATAGAATCCATTCATTCAACAAACATTTAACAGATGTTATACTGCTCTGGGAACTGTATCAGATGCCAAGTGTCACTGATCAAAGAGCAGGACCAGGAGAGCAAGTAGAGATGTCTTGATATACCTCAAACATTGTCATCAGAAAAACAAATCAAATGTCACATGGTGAGTAAGTCAGCAGAAACAGCTTTACATACAAAGGGTAGTAGTGCTTTGTGAAGAGACTATGACCCCAAAGCCATATGCATTCTTTATAAAGTCAGTCCTGTCTGGAACACTGCTTTCAATCATTGACTGAGTCTCTTTAGGCACACAGACCTAAAGCACAAAGAAGAGAACAGTCCAATTTCTCCCATCATAAAAACCTAAACTGTATTTTGAAAACCTCTCCTGTTCAAATCAGAAGCCCTGTTTAATTTTTCCTTATTTTACGAAAGGGAAAACTTGGTTAAAAATGACCAATAAAAATCACACTGGGACAAATCCCAATCTGTTATAGAAAAATCAGGCAGTGCACCTGCAGCGCTCTGGATGGAGCCTCTGATTAGCTGAGCACAGGCACAAAACCAACAGCCACGCGGCTGCAGAAACAGAAACTACAAGATAAGCCTTTTCTTCAGTTTATTTTTCTTACAGTTTATCATATTCTTTATTTTTCTCCCCCACCTCACACAATTTTCAGAAAACACTGATGGAAATGTAGAGCCAAAATCCAGCAATCAAAAATGAAGATTCACCTTTATGTTAAAGTGGCACCTGTGTGATTCAATCTCCCTTTCAGGAGAGGGAAAAAGCTCACGCCAGCGATCAGAAAGTTATGGAGGCAAAAACCTTATCAAGTCAGGAAAAAAACTGAAATTCTTCTGAAAATAAAGCATTTAACTGCAGTCAGGATTATTTTGTCCATAATCCATCAGAAAAGTTTATGTGCTGCTTTGTTTTTTGCATATATGTAGATGACCTGCACTAAGAGGTTACTCCAGGAGAAATTAAAGCAAAATAAGACACGGATAGTGAGAAGAAAAATGTACAGAAAACACTTGATTCTCCTTACACTTTATACCCAATTAATGATCCACATATAATCTTATTACATAAACATTTCATACGCTGCAGCTTCAGATATTACCAAGGCCTTCATACGGTGTAATTTACTATGACTAAGAACTGTATAGGATGTGAAGTCCACTGAGCTCCTACCAGAATTTCTGCTGATAATGACTTCCAATATAAATCCCAGTTAGATATAAACTCAAATAGTTTTAAAAATGAAAACCGACAAGAATTCCCCACTTTGGCAAGTTAAAAAAAAAAAACCCCAAGGCTATAGTTAAAAAAGAAAAAGTTGGAGTAGCTAAGATTGTGAGGTTTCTTAGGAATTTTAAGATAAACTAGGGATATACATGTGGTTTCTCCCAACAACAAACAACAAAGTTAATGTAATTAAATTATGTGAAAATATGGAGCTCATAAAACATGAGAAAACTAGGAAGAAAGCTTTCAACATTTCTGCATTGTGACTGAACCTGGGAAAGAAAATAGCCATTTGCAAATGAAAACAAACCCTAAAGGTACAAAACTAGCAGCCACCATCCCTCTCTGTGCTCCCCTTCCAGGTCTCCTGTGACTCTAGGCTGGTTTCCTGCGAAAGCCCCAACGGGCCCTCCTTCTAGCTCTCCTGCCACCCCTCTGCCCTCAGTTGTCAGCTGATCTTCCTAATACGTAATTCTGACTGTCACTCCTTCGCTGAGACTACTGGCCACAGAAGAACAAGCTCCTTGAGGTCACAGGATGCCCCGTACTCTTCTATCCAGCCTGACTTCTCTTGAGTGGCTACACCTTACCTCTGTGCCAGCCACATAGAACTGCCTGCTACTCCCTGATTCAGCTCTTTTGCTCATACTGTTCCCTCTGGCGGGAGTTCCTTTCCCTTCCCTGCTAAACTCCTACCCAACTCACACAGCTCTTCCGCAATGCCATCTCCCCGTGAGGTCTTTTTTCCTAGCTGGCTGTGATCCTCTCTCCTCTGCTACCTTGGTACTTTCGAACGTTTCTAATGGCACTAGTATTCCATCTTACATCATACATCAAATTATGTATCATCTCCACTGCAGGACTGTATACTCTCGGAGGCAGAAGCTGTTTAAATTTCTGCTTTATCCCCTGAAGAAACTGCTACAGTGCCTTACAACTAGAGGCACTCAAACCTGTACTGAGTCAAACTATACTGAGTTCTGCCCCAAGAGACTCATGGATGGAAAATACTTCGAGGGCACCGGTAGCAAATTCAAAGGGATGGTGATAGGATTTTGAAAAAAGTCTTAGAACATGGAAAATTCATGCTGATGGCAGAAATATTTTACTTTTGTAGGACTGAGACCCATAGGCTTTTGTGAGGTCACGATGGGAGTTAAAAAAAGAAACACACTGGACTCTCTTTCTCCAGGTAAATAATGAATGAACTAAAGAGTAATCTTTAAAAAAATAAACTCAATCATTTTGCCCCAGTCAGGCTGTAGAAAATAAAACAAGAAATACTAACAATTCTGTTAAAATAAAATCACAGATAGTTCTAGCTATGTGATTAGCCCCAGAAAAAGGCTTAAAATAATTCCTTGTTTTGTGAATTTACTTCCAAGTAATAAGAAGCCAGGCTAAAAATCACTTAGCTTTTCTTTAACCACAGGCTCCAAAAATGAATGACTGAGTGAATAAATGGATGAATTAATAAGACTTGATCCAGAGGTCACTATAAACCAGTGCCTCGCAAAATATTTGTGGGAAGGACTGGATTTTAAATATTTCCTATCTGTTCCAGACTGGTAGTCTCATAAAATACAATAAAAATGATGCAGCAATGCCTAAAGTGTAAGGCACACTTCTTCACTTCCCAGGGACCAGTAACACACTTTACAAATGGGAAGCCATCTGCTGTTTCCCCAAATCCACACACATTCAACACACTACCAAAGGCAGGGAAAGCTAGGATGCGTGCCTACCTTCTGCTCTTGCACCTCAAACACTGCTTCATGGACACTGCAAGCAAATAGTGAGGTAGGCAGATCACTTAAATCCATCATCTCTTCCAAATCATCTTCATTTTCCCCAAAAATCATCTCTTCTTCCTCTTCTTGGTCACTGCTACAGAGATCTGACTGGCTATCATTCCAAGATTTCATAGTGTCCCTCAGCATTATCTCCTAAAAGCAGGTCTTTTCCGTTTTTAAAGTTCTACAGGCATCTACTGTTAAAAAAAGAAAACAACAGAGACAAGACTTTGAAGGCCCAATAATGTTCCAATCAATTCATCAAATGAAGCAATTTTATTCAGGACAATAAATCAACGTTTAATTTAACTCATAACAGTCCTTATAAATGAATTCTATATATTCTAATTTGATTTGCTTAGCATATTTTACATTGTATATTTCACTGGCAAAGACATATCATGAAAAAAAGGCCAAAAGTTTCCTAGTGAAATGGGGTGTATAACACAAACTGAGATACTATCAATATGTACACCAGTTTATAAGCAGCAGGAAGGAAAATGTGAACCAGCACTGCCTTCACATATTTGTTTGGGTTTTAGGTCTACAACACTGAAACTGGCACAGCAGAATAAAACCCACACTGATTGACTCACCATCTGCATCCTGAAATACGGTCTGCAATGAGCTGACTTTATCTTTTCAAACCAATGAGTTCTTTTTGAATATACTCTCAAAGAACTAAGTTATGCAGAACCAAAAATTCTGCATAAAGTTGGTCCCTGCTAATATCAGAAATATTTACAATAAGCAAAATCTGACAGAAGACAATGAAAAAGACGTCCTTTTTCTGAACATTTAAAAAATCACTCATTTTATCCCCAAGGCATGGAGCTGATGGTGTTCAATACTGGAACAGAGTCTGTCTACAGGACTATTTATATGCACTTTTGTCTCTTCTGATGAACTGGACTCCACACCTAACAGAGTGCCTTGAACAAAACACATTTCAAGACACTGAAATGGAACTTAAGTAATACCATCAGGCACAGAAAAACCAGGTGAGCATGACTGCTACTACCTCAGTATTACCTAATTCGTGATTTTCTCTTTCATTTCAAAGAACGTAAAGCCACAAACACATTGCTCATGCAGAGTACAGTACAGAGTCCCAGTTACAGGATAAAAACGGTGATCCTCCCTCCCACACTGTTATTTCACTGTATTGATCAGGACAGACTAATTATAAAAAGTAAAATCTTTACCTGTTTTTATAAATATTTCCCGAATGTCTATTGTGTGCCAGGTATGGGGAGTTGGGAGACCAACAAGACACAGCTTCTATCCTCAAGGAGCTCCCACGAAGCAAGAATTGCTTCTCAACAGCACTAACCACTCCAAAAGGACCCTGCTCCAGTAACTGGCTCCTGTACTTGGCATTTGTCCACAAGTTCCTTTTCCTCAGCAAACATACCTATTTGAGATTCCCGGCCCCAACCCCGCCCCCAAGCTTGAAAAAGAAAAACTTCCATTTGGATTCTATCTTCCTCTCATCTACCTCCCTGTCTCGGCCTCATCTGTCCTGCTAGCTTCCTGGAAAAAGGCACCTGTATTTGCTGTGTTCGCGTCCTCAACTCCAGTCACTCCTGAGTTCAGTGCAGCTGGACTTGGGCCACCACCTTCTGGTGGAAACTGGCCTCGTGGTTTAGCAGCACCGTCTCCCGGGTGGCACCCGCCTCCGCGCCTCAGCCCACCCCTGCAGCTCAGGTCCCACCACCCATCGTTCACCCTGGGACCTCTCTGTGCCAGGCCTCCCTCCCTCTCGGGCTCTATCCTCCCCCGCTGTCTCTGTCACTGGCTCCTCTTTCTCCACTCACCCTTTACAACTTGGTCTCTTTGAGGTTTCAACCCCAGCCTCTTCCTCATCTTCCTCTTCCTGGGTGGTTTGATCCACACCCAAGCCTTTAACTACTTCACCACCAGTGTTTCTCAGCTTGGTTTCCTGCCTCCCTGTGGTTCACATACACAATACGTGTCTATCAATACTGTCTCTCATTTCATACAATTATTCTTACGCCGGGAAGGATGCCACCAGAGCTGAGGGGGAAGCAAGAGCAGTCTTGGACACTAAAGGGGATGGTGGTGTAAAGAACTATGTGATCCCAAGAGATTCCGAATTCGCCCAGGTCTTTCCTGCCCATGCATGCTGAAAATCACTAATCTATATGATTAATGCACCCAGATTCCAACTCTCTCCTGAGTTCTAGAATTGTATTTTTAGCTTTCCATTGAATATATCTATCTGGGAAGCTCACAGGTACTACAACTGTTTTCAACATATTCCTTTAAGTAGATTATTGTGCTGGAAATCTCTAATCTGGAAAGGTGCCCAGTGAGGGAAAAATGGTATCTCACTGTAAATTTCAATGTAATCTTTTCTTCAAGACTGAGTGGTCAGGTAGAGTCCCTGGCTCTCACAGCACTTGGTTCATTTCTCTGTTACATACTTATGATTATTTGTTTACAAATCACTCCTAGCTACCAGAGCATGAGTGCCTCTGAATCCCAGGTCCCTGGCACAGTTTCCAGCTACAGTATGTGCTTCATAAGGGCTGCTGAGTGAAAGCAGATAGCATTGTGTTTACCCATCGATATGGCAGCACAGACAAAAGAAAATGTAATTCTGCATGAGATTAGAGACAGCTTCCCAAAGGCGGCCATGGTTAGCCTTAAAGGATGAACAGAATTTCAGCAGAAGAATGGGGTGTGTTACAGTTTCTGGACAAGGACAGGGAGACAAAAGATCAGCATGCACAAGAGCATGAGATCTGGCGTGGTCAGAGTGCACCCTGTTTGGTGGGGGAGGCCTGAGTCAAGGTGAAAAATGTACATATGGGCCAGGTTGCCTTGCAAGTAGGGTTCCAGACATAAAAATCAGTCAATATCAGTATGGCATTGAAGGTTTTAGGAAGGGAAATGATATAACCATCCCAGTTTAACTTTCGGTATCACTCAAAGTGGGCTGGCTTTACCTCTTACTTCTTCGAGGCACTAATGTTTTTATCCTCCCCTTTCCCCATTACAAAGAGGTGAGGAAAATACTGGGCTTGGTTGGAGAGATGGGGAGCTCTCTGAACCGCTAGATTTTGAAATTTGAGAAAGTCAAGCTATTTTTGGTAAGATTTCTGTTTGTTTCAAGTTCCTTCCTCCAACCCCTAAAAAGGGGGAAAAATTCAGAGCACAGGAAACAATCCTTCAGCTGACTTTAAAAAAAAATTCTTAGAATGTTACACCTTCATTTCCTGTTTTGTACCTTCATTTTTGGGTAACTCTGTCTTTTGATAGAATATCAAACAGAACAGTTGTAAGAACAGCACAAGAATTTCTGTACACACTTTTCCTGGAGTTATCAATTCCTTACATTTTTGTACATTAAAAAAAAATCATTCTCTCACTTTTATACATATAAATTTTTTTGAACCATTAAGACTAAGATAGGGTATGCTCCCTTTACTCTCAAATAACTCAGTGCATAAGAACAAGTTCACTTTCTTATATAAGCCACAGTTCAATTATCAAAATTAAATAATTTAACATTGATATAACACTATTATCTAAATCAGAGCTTACTTTCAAGTTGTCAGTTATCCCCTATAATGTCTTTAGAGGTATCTTCCCTTCAATCTTTTTAGATTATTGTTAAATTATTTGCCTTTTGTCCCAAGATATCTCAATAATCTTTACAGCATTGTCACATTTTCTTCACTTATACATTACTGTGTATTTGATATGTTTTAAAAGGATGGATTGATGAAATATCACAGTAACTGCAAACAACTCTGAACACTCTTTAAGTATATCTCAGGAAGATTCAGGCTCCATAGCCAGACTTTTCTAGATTTAAACTCTGTCCCCTGCCCCTGACTACTCCATGCTAGGTAAATTACTCTACCTTCCTTTCTGTTTCCTCAACTATAAAGTGGGGGTGATGATAATCCTTATCTAAGAAGGATGTTAGAAGTATTAAATAGCAGGATACATGCTAAGTGCTGAGGATAATGCTTTGCATACAGTTGGTGCTCAGTAACTGTTTTTTCATAGGCACAATGCATCATTGGGCTGAAAGGATCCCAGTAATATCAGAACCTTCGGTGGAACTGATATTTAAATAATAAAATGAGAAAAATACATAAACAGATGATCTAATCTCAAGCAACAAAAAGGATCCAAAAATAAAACTAACACTTTGTATAATTTCAAGAAAATTGTTCCACTGCAGACCTATCAATAAAACCAGCTCCAAAGCAGCCCCTGGCAGTAGAGTCAGGGCTCCAGCACAAAACCATGTAAAGATTTAAAACCAAAGCTAGCTGAAAAAAGGCTATGGTGTACTTTTTAAGGGCTTCACAGAATTTTAACGTCGTAATTCAGCACACACAGTATTAGAGAGAGACGTTATCTTTCGGATGATGGTTCTCTTGCTAGAGGCTTGCCATGAGATTTGGAGAGGGGAGTCAAGGTATAGCTTAAGTCAACATCGTCGACCGTTTCCTAATTTTCTGACATCACAAATACAGCTAGATTTGAATAGAGAAATATGATCAGATCCGCCAGTGGAAAGGACAATCCCAGCGCATCTGTAAAGAAATCATCTTACAAGGTAATTCAGCTGGTACTTAAAAAGTAGTATGGTTTTATTAATGCAAAGAACAGAATGGCAAAGTACAGTGCTTCTATGCTGGCATTACTGGAGCTGTTGCTAACTCTGCCCCACTCCAGCTCCTATAAGACGAAGCTCTCCCTCAGTTTACTTACTAACCCCAGGGAAATATCGATTGGTTCAACAGAAAGGATTGAACCAATATCCACCAGCTTCTGTAAGCAACGGTCTGTGCTAACCAGGGTTTAGCATCCTCTCCAGCACAACTGTAGCCATGGCTGGCTTCTGGCAAATTGTTTCTTCATGGAAACATCAAATGAGTGGAAAACTCCAAGTAGCATGACCATCTGCTCTGCTACAACAAGCCCTGTGACAAAAGTAACTAATCAAGGCAAAATGTCAAGCACATGGATTGAACCTTGCATTTTAAATTCTCATCAAGAAAAGGTAAATTTCTCCTCCTGGAGGATTTTTTTTTTAAACTAATTTTTCAAATAGTATGCCTCTCAACTTGGTGAATATTTAAAATACCTTAGTTAGATACACTTTATTATTTTTGATGTGCTCAGAATGTTACTGATCAATACTGGAAGCAAACAAGTACCCCATCTCCAGCTCTACAAGTGTCCTGCTGTATAACCTTGGAAAAGCCACTTGGCTTTTTGTATTACATTTGTTCTCTCATATATAAAATGAGGAAAATACGGATGCTGCTGAACTACTAAATTATTTTTTAAAACTTCTAAATTATACATTTGGACTAAATTTCTTTAAAAAAAAACCCTCGGGATTGTCAATGTGGGGGTTCCAAAAAGCTGTCATGCAAGCCTCTATCTTCTACTTCCTCCTCATTCACCACTTATAGGAAGAATCTTACTATTTCAGTAGCTGTGGTAAAAGAAAAAATGGGGCAACAGTCAAATAAAATAGGTGAAATTTAGATTTTTGAATTTTGTATGTTTCAATGACTACAGTTTCTTTTCCCAGGTAATCTAGAATTGGTCCTGTTGTAATTATTGAGGTTCAGCGAAGTACTTGTTAGTGTGAGAGAAATAACAACAAAACCCAACTGTCAGAACATACGAAAATAACAGATTTTAAAGAATAACTGAAGTAGGGATACAAACACTGAGGCTATTTGTTTCACTGTATATAATTCATTTCCCCTCCTGTATCCTCTACATTCTAGGAGAAAAGTGGAGATTCACTGTCTGACCTCCACCTTCTGTGGCTCTTTGGGTCTAAATAACAAATGATACTGAACTTTTTTAGAGCTTCCGTTATTTCACGGGCTTCAGACTGTTGGATTTCCAAACCACGCATTGCTTAAGTCTTTCAACTAATATACCCTCTAGCACCATACAAAATCTGTACTCCTTTGTAACCCTTAACATGCACATGTTTAAAAGCTTTACAAATGTTAAAATTCAATAGTGGGAAAAACCGTGTTTTCCCGAAAAGCACTGAAATCTCTTCCCACGCTAAAAAAGAAAAGGTTTGCCAACCCTGTAAAACATAAAGCTGACAGCGTGGCTAAAGGAAGGGCTCTCCGTTTTCAGGCCTTTCACTGTCTTCCTGCATCAGAAATCCATTTCTAGAAAACCAATATAAATCCCCACCAAAACCCACGAACTTGTGTGATGCACGAACATCTACATTCTGAGTCTCAATATTGTGTTTTTATAATTTAATATTTTGAAACTGAGCTAATGAAAGTCTTAAAACTAATCCTTTTAAATCATATGTAATCACAACGACAAGTCAATTGCTTCTCTTATCACAACGACAAATAAGTCAATTGCTTCTCTTATCAAACTGTACATCAGAGACTTCTACTGAATGCAGAGACTTCTAAGAAAAGTTCAGATAAATGTGGTGTTCTAGGTAACTTTCAATAAGAGGGAGCCAATACTTTTGGCTTTGAGCACTACACTAAAACGTCACTTTAAATAATCCTAGTTTGTATCTGCAACACGGATCTGAAAAGCTCTCTGCACTGGACTCCTAATCCCTGAAGGAGATGATCAGATTTTGCACGGAAGCTAGAACGAAGCAATCAGAAAACAGACCGCTTTTGGTCTACCGGTCCAGGTAGCAGATGGAAGCAGATAGACAAGTTTCAAGAAGTTACGGAATAAGTAATGAGATGGTTACCCGCGCATCACGGAGGAGGGAGAACAAATGAAAAAGAGGGACTTCCAATTTGTGGTCGTCCCTGTTTTACCCACAGCACCCTTCTGCCTTCAGGAGCCGGTTGGGCCTGTCAGCTTTTCAGAGTCAAACAATCGTTGGGAGCGGAGAGGACAATTTTCTTGGTTTTGTTTTTCAAGACACTACCCGAGAGCTCCCAGAAAAGACCCTGGACTCGAGAGGGGCTGGACCCGGGAGGCAAAGGCGCAGCATCTCTAGGGTCTTGTGCACCTGCATATTGTTTCCTTTCTTTTCTTTCTTTCTTTAAAATTTTTTTTAATTTACCTTTCCGCACCCTTGCCCCCCACCCTGCCCAGTGCCGGGTGCCGAGC